AAGCCTGGAAGCAAAACTCGTCTCAGAAGATGACCTCTACTGAAAAAAAGAGGTTCCTTCAGACTTCAAGTATCCTCAAGAAGGCAGATATCCTGAGGATTACTGTTCTGATATGACGGTTAAAATTCTATATACAAACTCCTGAAGTTCTGGAATCCTCTTGAAGATCTGGATAAAAGCAACCAAGACTGAGATGGCAAAAGGAAAAGCATTTATAAACTTTTCTGAGTTTAAGATTGAAAATTCTTGTCTCTTTGTTCCTCTTTTTAGGACAGCAGATTTAGGTTTAACGCTCTATGGTGAAAGTTTGCCAACACAGCTGCTTTTATGCAGCCTCCAAGAAGTACAATTTGACTTCTTTTAAATTGCACATGCTTTTTTTTAAATTTATTTTAAACTATATTGATACTTTCTCCCCTTACTACTAAAAGTGGCAAGGTTTTGTTCTTTCCAGTATGATAAAAAAATTGTTGTTCAATCAATCATAGTGGATCACCATAATTTAAAAGCATTTAACCTGTACTGCATTTCCACACTGTCATTTTCTGCTCTTCACCAGGACACATACATACAAAACCAAGAGATTCAAGTGGTGAAAATCACCACAGTCATTACTTCGTCTTCAGTAAGTTATTGAGAGGTGTTAAGATAAACCGAAAATAGCACCAGTTTCACTGTACTAAAGGTTGCATATAAGGTATATCAAGTTCTGAGAATGCCAGTAATAACACTAAATTGCTTCAACTGCTGAATGCTCAAAGCAAGTTAACTAACAGCTACTACGAGCAAACTAACATTCAGTTACCACAGAACAAACTTCACAGTTTTTAAGATGTAGCACTCAACTACACTTCTGTCAGAATAAAACAGGTAAAAACTCTGACGATGTTCCATGTACATAAAACAATTCAACTTTCTTTCATGCATATGTGAGATGCAGATGATCATAACCCTATATTCATGTACGTGCTTGCAGTAGATCAGTAGATCAACTGAGAAATACCTGTAGAATAAAACTCCCATCTGCCCATAAAACATCACTTTAAGACGTAGTTTGCTGGTGGTCAGGGAAGAAAGGGCATTCTACAGATAGATTAACAACTAACGGAGTCTGAGAATTCAAAAAGAAGTCCCAAAAAAAACAACATCAACAAAACTGACCTCTTCAGGTGTTCACATCAACTACAATGAACTTGGATCTTTTGCAGACTCCAGATTTTCCTGCACACATGCAGGCATTAATACAGCCAACAAGTAGAGAATTGCCTAAAAATAGCTCTAGCAGCCTTTCCTCTAGAATGCAAACACTGCCGTTAAATACAACATGGCAACACTTGGGATCAGTGTGGATTTTGAAATACCACATGCAAGCTATTCAGGTTTCTTTAAACAACAAAAATAGCAATAAAAATAATGTCAAACTTTGTCTTGCTGGTAAAAATATCTCATTTTCCAAATGTAAATGTTAAAAAAAACAAACAAACAAAAAAAAACCTGTAATGGCTTTTATATACCATAGATTGCTTATTTAAGTGGTACACTCAGTGAAACAGATGTCATTGCACAATATCTCTGTTCCACCCACATTCTGTTCTCCTAGTTGCCAAACAGAACTGTTTTGAGTTATTTACTGAGTGATCAGATTGAAGTATTTCTGCAAGGATCTCCACGCTACATGAAAGAAAAAAAACCAAACAGCAGTACTTAAAAAACCAAAATGGAACTGCACATGATGTTCTATTGTGACTTAATTTGGTCAACATGCCTTTGGTAGTAGAGACTACCAAGGCAGACCAAAACCTTTAACAAAGGGTCAAAAAAATCTTATCTTTACAACTTGATTTTTTTTTCTTTCTTCCTGACCCTTACACTGTTTCAACTTTGTATTTTTAGACAACTTCACTCAACCAAGGAAAATACAGAATTATCACTAAATCTTCTGTCTCAGTATCCAGAATTATTTTTTCTTGAGTAGAATATCTACATGCAACCCTAAATCCATGCCATAATATCACTTATGTTGGAAGGGACTTTTGGAGGTGTCTGGCAGTGGGATTGTAACTTCAATTATTGGCCCAATTCACCCCACAGCACTCAGTGAAGCTTTTCAGCAATACACCACACGTGCCATTCTCCACTGTAGAACATAGCTATCTGATTTTTGTTCTGTTCTTTCATGGTGTCTTGTTTTTGAACCTTTCCTCCTTCCTTCTCCCAACCTTGTCACAGTGATCTTCGGTTGATTACAGACTGCAGTTAGGCTTCCTCAGTGAGATGGGGAAGGAGACTAACCTTGCCAGCTGAACGCTGCACAGAAAGACCAAAACAATACTAAATCAAACACAAAACAAAACAAACTAAAACATACCTACTCTGTTCTCATCAGTGTCAAACTGTCACCAGAAATCGAGTTATAAGATTTCTCTAAACCTGTAATCTTTTAAGAACCCAAACTGCATTTGGTTAAAAGTTAGTGAAGGAAAATAGAGAACAAAATAAAATCCATATATTCTGCATTCACATTCACAGTGAACTGATATACAGGGCAAAAGAACTTTAGGGAAATTTGCTAAGCTTGAATACTTGCAGAATTCGGGGGGGAAAAAAGCAACAAACAATGAACAAACAACAAACAAATGAAAATAAACCCACAAGCACTTCAATTCTCAAACATAAGAAAGAGGCATCTAAAACATGTCTAGAGATATGCGTGCATTCTGCAGCAGAGTGAATACATATCTAGCCAGCGATGGCTAAGCAGAAAAACCTTATCTATGACCTTTTCTCATAGTAAGTACTGTCCTTGTTAAAAATGTGAAACTTTCTTCAACCTCTCAAGAAAAGTGGCACTAAAACTACTAATGTTAACATCAAAATACATTTTAGTATTCCAAAGGTTTCTCTTCTCATCAGATTTTCACTCGTCAGTACTTGTTTGCTATTAAGCCACCTAACCCTTCAACTTTCCAGCTTTATGTTGCCTTATTTAGAACTCTGGACTTTGCTGAGCTGCTTTCAGATTACAACATAAAGTCTTAAGGATAAATAAAGCAAGCACGTTTCTTAGCAGACCACTTGCCACTTTAGCAACAGCAGAATCAATAATGGATAAGGAGGAGTATAGTTCTCAGATTTTTCATTCCCATCTAATTTCTCTGCATCTGTAATATGAATACGCTTCGAGAAAAAGCGGTGGGTACATCAAACCATGAGAGTGCTTCAGGAGTGAATGAACTTGACTTTTTTTTGAACATCAGTGTGCTTAAAGCATTTATTCAGTGCCCAACGTGGATCTATTTTTCCATCCAGTTGAAAATAACTGAGCACTTACCATGTTATTCTAGCTATTCTACGCAACCCTGTAGCACAGAGTCCAATGCAATCGATTCGCATACTGACTAGAGTTTCAGGCCAAGTATGTATTCACGTGTCCTGCAAAGCTAGTTTCTGGACAGATGATAGTGCTCTAGTTGTTGATAGCTTTTTGATATCCATAGTCCCTTCCTATTATTGCTCACACCTAACCCTGACTGTGGAAGTATTTACAACGCACTGTGAAAGAACACATTTATCTGGAACCAAACGAATGCAGTAAAAGAAGCACTTCATTCATTAGCGCAAATTGTTGGTGATCACTCTTCATTTTCTTTTAAAAAAACCAAATGATGCATTTTGAGAAAGATAAAGACAAGTATGCTGATTTTCAAAAAAATTTGAACAAAGAGGAAAGTATGAAATTACAAGAAGGTGTACATGTTAAATTTGGTAAGAAAAAATAAGTATTTATTTCTTTGTTTATTTAAGAGAGAAAGTCATGTCTTTATTTGGATCAACTTTTCTGTGGTTTCAGTTCCTAAAACTAAAAACACCTGTTTGTACTGCTCAGATATCAATACTGTTCTTCAAAGTTCGGCATACAGAATCATCAGTATTCTGTCAGCCACAGGCAGGTAGCCTCTCTCATTATAGGAGCCCAGTCTCTCTGTCATTCTGTTATCTGCTTGTACACTGTAATGGGGCTGTGTCTCTGCTGAAGTACTAATATGCCATTGTGAAATGAAAGAAATGAGTGAGGTGTTCCCTGACACTGAATAATTACTGGATAATAAAACCTTATCTGATGAGTAATTCTATTGTCAAATAAAACTAGACAGTTTGATTTCATTATCAAGTATTCAGTTAAGATAGTGTCTACATACATAAGTACGTACGGGTTCCACTTCAAGAGTCCTTTAAATGCAGTCTGCTTTAAGAAAAGATCTTTTTAAGAGATTATGACAATTTCTGAACATTCGCTGATCACAGACTTTTTTTTTTTTTTTTTAATTTTTTTTTTTTTTATATGGCGAATTCTGAAGACAACCCTGCTTAGTTGAAATACTGTGAAAGGAAAACCACCCAACTAAACAGAGTACCACTGGGTTTTGCCATTATGATCACTGCTTTTCCAGATAATTTTTTTTCATAGAATGTCAATAATTAGAATAGGATGTTGGCATACCATATGAACGCCAGTAAATGAAAAACATCTCCAGAAAACATCTATAAAAATGACATTATGTATTGCTTTGAGTGCAATTGCTTTTTTTGAAGAAGGAAGTGCATTAACAGCCTTTAAAAAGCCAAATCTTGTCATGAGATTCCCCACAGCTATTGTTACTGCTGAACCGAAAGGCTTAGGGAAAACAAAAACTATTATATCTCAGACCTCATCAATGTTGCAAAATGCTGAACAAAGGTTTATGTCATTCCGATGGCATTTTGTCCTGCTCTCTGTGCAATTTGGATCATTCTGGAGCTAAAAGCTATTGATTTACTAGAAAGCAGCTTCATGTTTTGTATTTTCAATCCTATTGGTCTGATTAAACAAAAAGACCTTTCAGCAAAACACAGAACTTTTTATATTACTAACTGGACTGCACTCAAGTCTGTTACAATAAAGAAGGAGTCGGCACTGATAGCAGCAGTATTACACTTACGCTCATTAAAAATCAACAAACCTTTCCTTCAGCGTCTCCTGTTGTAGCCTTCTCAACCTTGTTCCTGTTTAAAATTTTTTTCACCCATTCTTCCACTTGAACATTGAACTTCATGAAAGTCACATAGCAAAAGTATGCTGTCAGGAGCGTTAAGCTTTCCCACCACATGATTAAGTTATCCAGAAAAAAGATGATTAGCAAGATCAAGTCAACGATGTAAAAGGACACATCTCGAAAGAGTGGCCACCAAGTAAGATTCAAGATTTCTCTAGAAAATAAAGCACACATTCCAATCACGAACAGGATATTAAACACAGCAGATCCCACTATTGTCCCAATGCCGACATTGCTGTGGGATATAAACACTCCTATTAAAGAAGTGAAGAGTTCTGGGGCCGAGCCACCCGCTGCCATGAAGGTTGCCCCTGCCACATCATCGGATATGCTCAGCTTTTCAGTGATGACAGTCAAGGAAGGAACAAAGAACTCATCACAGACTATGGCTAAGGCTATGAACATGTAAATCATTCCAATAACATGCAGTATCACTGCACCCTTTCTTCGTTCTTCGAGAGAGAAAAGGTCCTCTGGGTACTCTCCCTTGGAATGCTCTTCTGTTGCATTGTCATGTTCAGCTTCATGTTTCATCGACGTAGGTGAATCTGGAGTGCCACCTTCATTCTGTTCCATGAAATCCAACAGAGTTCTTTGGTGACCATGCACCAGCTTTTGGCTATCTAGGCTGCTATCCAACACCTTGCTATGTGTTTCCATCTTGAAAAAGGCACTAATTGAAAGAGAGAAAGTACTAATGGCCACTACACTGACAAGAAGCCCTATTATCCTTATCAGTCTCAGTTTTTTCCTAACATTCTGGTGCCGTTTGCAACCAAACAGTGGTTCCTTCAAACACCACTCTTCCAAGACACTACCAACAGTTTTTTTGCAAAGAGCCATTGTGAGTCCTGTGTGAGATGCTGAGGGAGTCAGATGGATTGTTCCTTCATAATTTTCTTCTGCTTAGAAGGTAAAGGTGCTTTAAGGGTTCTTCCATCAAGTTCTTTTATTCTTCATAGGAAGTATTTTCTTCATTCGTACTAAAAGGGGCAAATAGGTATTATTAACATTTGTAAAAGAATACATGAATAAAAGCTTTATAGACTTGGCTAAATTTAGAATTTAAAGCAGAATATTACTGACTGCAACACAGTACCCTGCCTCATACCCTCAGGCACTGCAACAGTGTGTCTGCTTCAGCATTAACCCTGCGGATAAAAGTCTATCAGTACTCAAATCACTTTATGCCACGGCTCAGCATTAGGACTCAGCTGATGACAAAAAATCCTTGCAGAAAGGAAGAACTATTCCCAGATGCACAACAAATGAAGAAGCTACTATTTTAATTGCTACACCAAAGGTTATCATCTTCTGTAATTACTTTCTTCCACAATCACGTAATGCCCAATTCCCAAACGCAGAGGCAGTAATGTATGAAAAAAGCAATCAAAGTGTAACAAGCATCTCATCAGGCTTCTATGCAGCTGAGGTAGTATTAATTGAAATGTTACACACATGTAGAGCAAGTCATTATAATGCGTAGGTAACACACTGAGCTGCTGGAGTAGGATCGAAATGAAGATCTGAGATACACACACCTTCTTTTACTCCTCTGCAAAATCAGCCGAAGTTTGCACAAAGAATTCAATTTGCTTCTGACCAGATCTAGGACATTAGTTTAAGCTAGATAGCACAGGAGTTTCATACACCTTTGATTTTATCTCACACATTCCGCTATAAAAGTAGGAAGCCAAATACTTTTTGGCATTTCTTTTTAAAAGCACCCAACTTACAGATTGTGTTAAAGAAAACAATTTAAGTTCATGCCTTAAACTTAAAGGCGATGCTGAAACTTTGAGAATATGAGAAAGACTATTCATATCAGTGCAGAGTGGTGGAAGGACAATACTTTCAATACAGTAAAGAAAAAATTAAGTAATTATTATTATATAACAGGGACTGTGATTACCTAATTCAAAGACGACAACATAGAAATAAATTACATACATGTTATGCATAGCAAGCCACATTTTCTACAGCACGAAATATAAAATTGACTATCAAAAACTTCCGATTACGATGTAAAACCAATACGTTACACCACGTACTCAAGGCGCTTGCAGTAAAAGCTGAATTTTGAAGACTATATGAAATGCCGATTTTGTACTCTCAAAGAGAAAATTACAACTACATAAAAGTTCCTAAGTCACGTGCAACATTTCCTCATTTTACAAACGGCACCCGCGCTAAGATGTCATAGAAACACGCTCCATCCCCAAAATACAGCACCACAGTGGAGATTTTCTATTTTCCACCTGAGAGTTGCACTCACCAGCCTGCCACACAAACACCACACAGGAAAGGCGGCAGAACGACAACATCGCTTCGTGCAACACACGTGCCACACGGGCCGATCCCCCGACCCAGCTCCCCCCTGTCCAGCCTGTCCCCGGCACTCCGCCAGCCGCTGCCCGCGCCCCGCGGAGATGCCGCACCGCCGCTCCGAACTCAGCCCAAGTTCGCCCCTCCCCGCACCGCTCCGCACCGCACAAACTTTTCTCCTCTCCTTCCGGCGAGCCGGCCCAGCCACGCTCCCCGTGCCGCAGCCGCCGAGGCACTGACCAGCCCGTCCGCGCGCGGCTGCGGGGAGCACGAGGCGCCCCGCAGCAGCCGGGTACCACCCACATGGGCGGGCGGCCCCGCCCGGGTAAGACAGCCGCGCTCAGCCGCAGCCCAAGCCCCGCCCGCCCGCCCGAGCCCGGCGTCGCTCACTCGCGGTGCGCTGCTCGGCTCCGACGCCCGCAGGGGCTCGGGCACCCGCGGCCGCCGCTACTGCCCCTTGCCGCGCTGACTGCGGCGGGCGGCGGCTGCGGGTCCGCACCGCACCGCCCCGCACAGGCGGGGCAGGAGGCGGCCCGCTCCCGCCCAGGGCCGCCGGGGGCTTCTGAGAGCCCCGTCGCCCCCCTGACGGGTACGGGAGTGCGGGTAGCGGTAAGGGAGCGGCGGCAGGGGCTGCGCGTTTCCTTACGCCTCTGGTTGCCGGTTAACGGAGTTAAGTAATATTTGCTGCCTCCATAGGCAGTGATGAGCTTCGAGGAGAGGGGTAATTTTAAAAAGGAAATGTCTTCTCATCAGCATGTCCTTTGTTCCAAATGTCTTCTGAAGGGAAATCAGGAAATGAAAGAAAAGAACATAGCGTTTTTGTTCTGACTTTAAGGAAGGAGACGTGCCCACCGATAGTTATTAATCATCAGTAATTTACTTAGAAACACACGTGTCTTTAAACTGCTCTTCAGAACTGGCACGGAGACCAATGAACTGCGCTCCGTAGAAAACAGGGGAAGTTCAGATCCAGACCTTTCCCTTCCTTCGTCTTTCAATATAGGTATATCCTCGGTAAACTCTGGTTTGTTGAGCAATAAATTCAAGATTCAAACACAGTGGAACTGCTGCAGTGCCTCAGCATCGCTACCTTCATGTGCTAAGTGCTGCAGATCCACTAGGGCGTAGAGGTGCTGCTCTGCTGAAATACCACTTGTGGTCCTACTTGATGTCTTTGTTACAGAAAGCCACTAAGCAATCTGCGGGTACAGTGAGGTAACCTAATGTGGGTAGGCCAGCCCCACAGGAAGCTGTTCACTGAATGAGCAGAGCTGGGAAATACTTCCATGTGGACGTATCTGACAAGTGCAGAGATCAGATGAGAGCATGCAGAAGCAGTCTGCTTGCATGGGGGTGGGCAGTACAGTCTTGAAGTTGAGATCTAGGAAATGCTTGGTTGCAAGCTCACTAACATTATTCTGTTTTCAGTGATGCCCTTTTCAAGTTCTGAAGAAGTCTACTGCAAGCAGCAAGCAGACAGTACTCTTGGCCACTTTGGGCTACAGAATAACTTTGATTTTTCCAGCCTCTACTGCCTTTGTTTCTGAGCTGTGATTTCACCAGTTGGTAAACAATATAACTCTATTTGTGGGGAATACAAAGATGTGTTTTGATTAAGTGGGGGGAGGGGGGAGCAATGACTGACATTTGAAGTATCCTCACAGCTATTCTTGGGATATTGTATGAAAGATACTGGTTGTCCAAAAAAGTCTGAAGCATGTCATCTGTTTTCATCTCCATAACTGCAGTTTTCAATGCCTGGGTCTTTTAGATTACTTCTGCAGTGATGGGAAACTGAAAAATTCTAGAGCTGTGAGATGGTGAAAACTTGTTCACAGAAAGCGAATAGGTATCCAAGGGACAACATGGACTTGCAAGAGATACAAAACAAAACAAGGTATTTCCAGAATTTCAAAAGTTTCAAGCAATGGCAATGTCTTTTAAGTTGCCTTAGAAGACAGTTGTTGGCACAGGTGGTTTAGTTGCATTTCACACTGGAAGCTTCTCATTTTAGAGGCTGACAGGTAGTGGAGGATGCCTACTGATTACCCACATCATTGCATCATCCTGCACCTGAAATATACAAAAACATGTGGAAACTGCTTTGACCATCCACTTAGGGACATGACATACACAGTAATTCATTAAAATGCATTTATTTTATTAATAAAAACCTGCATTTTATGTATGTATGTATATTTTATGTATATATGTGGTCGGTGTCTATATATGCAGAACACAGATAGAATGCATCAACTGTGCTCCTACACAGCCATGCCAAGGCTAGAGATAAGTGTGCTTATGTGAGTTCTTGTGGTTGGTGCATTGTGGCTTGCAGTTTGTGAAAAAAAAAAAAAAGGCCTTGAAAAAAGATGTCCAGATGTTCTTGCAGCTTTGTAGATGGCAAAAGACAGGTTAGGATTTGTGTGTAGTGCCGCAGTATCCATCAGCTTCTGAAATATTAGTGAAAGCAGCTGAGTCTTGTGAATGACCACAGTGAGAGAAGAACTGCTGTAATAACATTATTTATATTATAATGAAAAGACTTGAATTGCAGTATCCATACGTTTTTCTGTAGTTGTGGCAGTTGCGTTCCCAGTAGCAAACATTTATTGCAGTCCAAGGAAAATAAAAGCCATAACAAAAATGATGTAGTACCTAGATAGGTATCTCTTCATTAACCTGACCTGTTATTGCCTACATTTTGCATAATAAAGATGACAGAAACAAAAAAGCGCTGTTCAATTAGTGTTAGGAACATAACTAACAATAAAATAGATTCTATATTATGCTCTCAAAATTAAATGTCAGGGCATATCCTGGCTAAATGCAGTATAATTGGGTTAGCTGAATGAACCTATCTTTGGGCTACATCTGGCTTTATGTTTCTCTTAAGTAAGAAGAGAAAAGACATCTACTAGCTAAATGCATTCTACACTTATGCATTTGTGCCCATGACTAGGTGTTCATTTTTATATAAGCAGGACACATTAACCGTTTTTAATTTACTATGTGGGATGCACTCTCTGAAACAGTAAAGCATTCTTCTTTATTCTTTTGCAGTATTTCTTTGCTGTTTTACATCCTAGACTTGTTATGAGCAAGCACAGATGTGTCTTTTGTCCACAGGAGAGGAAAGGAAGAGAGAGCCAAATGAAAAATCCTGAATGACAACATCTCCAAGTATCACAGCAGTACCTTCTAAAGCTGGAAGATAAAGCTGATGAGGTGGTTACCATGGCTACAGAAGCGGCATATTTGAATGAAAATTGATTTTAAGCTTTTAAATGCTAATTGCATCTGTGAAAAGGTGACATTTGAAATATCTTTTTCTTCTCCCCCTCCCCTCCCCTGCTTTGCATTGTACAACGAGTGAAAGAAGAGGGTGACAAAGGTGACAACACAGAGTTAAGTTAAAACACTGATGCAGTCTTCAACACTAAAGTATGTCGCACCATTTGCTTGTGTAGTAATAAAAGTAATAAGCGAACACATATATAGATCACAGTATCTGAGGAGCAAAAACTGTATCTATAACCCAAGTAATACATTTTTCATCATATTGTGAAAAATTAAACAGCCTTATTTAAATTAATCATCAAACCAATTTTTTTCTGGTAGCTCATAATAAAGAGGCTATTAAAACTTAGCATTCAGAAACTATTATAAATTCTCAGTGACGAGGAAATTTCACAAATGCCTGAAATTAGAAGCATTTCTTATTTCATTTCATACATCAGGAAGTAGACTTGAACTTCTACACAGCGGCAGACTCAGGCCGGAGGGCAAAGGTGCTGTACAGACCAGTGTCACTGTGCAACTACTGCAAATTGCTGTCACACCACCGTCTGGCCATGCTTAGGCTTTAGTTGTAGAAGACATAGAAGGTGTAATTTACCTAGCTGTAAGCATAAGTTTAATATGATCTCAAAGCTTTTTAGCTTGCAGTGGGTTGTTACATCCCACTTGTTAGCGCTTGCTTTTTGAAACACTCCTGATAGGATTACTGTGTGAAACATGATCGGTTGTAATTCAAATTTATATTTTGTTACAAAAATATATATATTTTTTAATTTTTTGAGGGGTTTTAAGTTACTTTTGGGTGTTTTTTTTTTTTTTTTCATTTTTGTTTTTTAATATGCAGTATGAGAAATCCAATGGTTTTATCTATGTTCTGCTTAGTTGTAATACGCACTGTAACAACTTATGGTAAGGAGGCTAAATTTTTGATTCAGTCACTGCTAATGAACACTATGAAAAAAATGTAGAAATACATCAAAGGACAAAGGCTTTTTTTTTTGTGCTGTATTTATAGAATACTAAATAAAGTTCCTTTCTTATAACATCCAAAACAATGAGTAGGCAATCATGAATGAGTATGTTAGTCTCCATAAGGGGCAGCCTTCATAGAATCATAGTTGAAAGGGAGGTGTAAGAGTCCCTTCAAGTCCATCTCCTAGGCCTGATACATCCATATCAGAGCAGAACCACCACAACATGACATCTAGTGACATGACAGAAAATATACTGCATCCTTCTTGAAATCCACTTATCTAGATATATAATGCCTAGGTGATTGTTTTTACTTAAATAGTCACAGAAATTCCCAGTGAGCAGGGAATGAGGCTCTATGACTCTCCTTCAGATTCCTTTCTCTTTCAGACATGCTGATTTTCTCCTATGACATTCCATGTATGTTAGTGCCATTATTTAACCTCAGCAAGGAGGTGTGGAGTCAAAGGGAAATCTTATTTCATTACAACCTGTGGCCTACCAGGCTCATTCGTGAGAAAAAACCCCTGTGAGCTGGCAATTCAAGCAGCCTTAGGATTGCTTGCTGGTTTGGTGGATGAGCTCCAGTATTGCTGCCAACTTCTCAGTAATGTCATGGATCTTGCTGCCTCAGCATGAGATCTCCTGCTCCTTGTGTTTTGAAAGACACAGGAGTGCCTCAGCGCCTTCCCAGAAGGATGGGAAAGAAAACTGGGGAAAAAAACAAAGCAGGACTCACAGGTTGAAATGAAAACTATTTAGTAAGACAAAAAATAATAGAAAAATAATAGTAATTGTAATAGATATATACAAAACAAATGATGTACATTGCAATTGCACATCACCCACTGACTTATGCTCAGCCACTGTCCAAGCAGCATCTCTCTGCCAGGTGAACTCCCTCCAGTTTTACTGTTCAGAAT